AATGAGGGTTCTGGACACTTACTCCTGCAGGTTTTACTCTGTCTGCATCATTATGATGGACTACGTTGAGAAGGCAGCTCTTCCTCAGTCATATTTTGAGTGACTTCTGACCTAAGTGACTCATCTGACCTCAGTGACTAATAAAGAGATAACGTATATACTTGAGTATATATGGTTGGTGTGTGTGTGTATCTTGAGGCACAAGAGCTGAAAGTTGTTAGCAAACAAAATGAACATCAAAAGTGTGTGTGTATCTTGAGGCACAAGAGCTGAAAGTTGTTAGCAAACAAAATGAACATCAAAAGTTGAATCCGTATATACTTGATTGTAAGCAGAGTTTTTTCCGCACATTTTTAATGCAGTTTTTGTGGTAAAATTAGGTGCCCCGGCTGATATTCAAGTCATCTTATACTCAAGTATATACAGTAATCTGAGATTGAGGATCAAAATACAAAATTAATGAGAAACCTATTTCAAAGATAAGCCAGATTTTTCAGCACAAGAAGCACAAAATGTGAGAGATTCTAAGGAAAAGGCTGGAAAATATTTACTAGATCTAGAATGAAGTAAGAAAGACAATTTTGAGGAAAACAAAAACAAAACAAAAAACTCCCTAAGGCATTGCGTAGGGGTATAAATTATAAGGATAAGATAACCCCTCTATAATTTTACTTCATAATTAACAGGAAACTTATGGGAGGGGACAAAGGTTATTTTTGAGTTGTTAATGGGACCTCTCTATTGTATTGTGCACTGTAGTCAAAGTGTACAATAGGATACTGGAGCAAGAAGAAAAGGACTTTACAGTTTTCTTCTTCCAGGGAATTAACTCTCCAACAGAAATCAAAGTATAAACTAGATTTTTTAAAAGAGGAAATTACTACAAATATTGTATTGGGAAAAGTTATAGACCTTTGATGTGTTAATATATAACTAATTTTGTTACATTATGTTAATTGTCTTCAAGTCTACTTTTTCAGACATTAACATTGCTACACCTGTTTTTGTTTTATTATTTCACTGTTGCTATTTGCATGGTATACTATTTTTGTCTTTGTTTTTGAGGTGTGTTTTTGTAAGGAGCTCTTGGCGGGTCTTATTTTCTTATCCATTCTGCTACTCTCTATCTCTTTAGTAGTGCATTGAGTTCACTTATGTGCAGTGAGATTATTAATATGTGTGGGTTTGTTATTGTACGGTATGTATCTGTGTGAGGGGGAGGGAGGCTTTTGTTTCTTTTATTTGTTATGCCTAAATTGAAAATGGCATATACTGGATTTCTTACGTCTTTTTTTGGTAGTGCAAGATTTTCTTAATTATGATTAATATAAATACACAATGAATAAGCCTTTGCCATGTCCGCATTCTCCACATGCACAGTTCAGTGGCATTACTTTATATTAATCATGTTTCCAAACATCTCTCTTGTTCCTCAAGTTTTCTAATACCTTACATGATGAATTATATTGTTTGGGGGGAGAGCTTTCATTTTTATGCCTTTTGAAAGCTGCAGGTGATAGAGTTGATAATGTGCTTCTATTTTTCTCTAAATGCAAAATATTTTCATATAGGTCTTTGTCTTGGCTCATGTGAAAGGACATATTTTTTAAAAAATCATTTTATTGGGGCTCATACAACTCTTATCACAATCCATACATACATCAATTG